TAGAAGATGGTTTCAAGTTACCACAGAAGTCAATTTGAAACTCAAGAATGCTTCCGTTGACTCATAATCACAAAAAAGTCGAGTAACTTTTTAGATGTCGAAAATCTTAGGTAAGGTAATAGGTGAGTTGATGGGGTTATTCGAAGCTGTTTGCCTCCTTAAGAGTTATGAATGTGAGTGAGCGACTCCTCGATGCAACAATAAGGTAATGTTAGTAGAGGAAATGAGACACCAAGATGAATAACATAAATGGCTGCACATTTGTTAAATGAAAAAAAACAAGAAAAAAACATCGGTGTCTCATCTTGAGGTATTAGACAGATTTCGCACATAAGTGAAAGTACAACTTATACGTATACATATACTTTAACCTTTACCATGCTGCCTTATTTCAGCAAATATATCCCACGCAACTGGCTTATTTTTCAAAGAGTGCAAAAAATGATATGCCTGGACTAAATAATTAATATCTCAATAACTACTGAATGAATCTGGATAAAATTTTCACAAAGGGAAGATACAGTGGCCTGGCTCATGAAAAAAATGTTCTCATGAATTTTTTCGTACATTAACACGACTGGGCATAAATATACCATGAATACTCCTCTGGAATCCGCTGCTCCGCCTCTTCGTCTGGTCAGAATCCAAATCTGAATTTGCAGCGATCGAATGTTCAATTTTTCAATTCAGAAAATATTCTAGTTTCTATTTCTATTTATCGACTTCCAAGAGCTCAAAATCGTAATCCATTTCCTCCACATTTTCGTTGTGATCGTATTTGTCCACCATTTTGTACAATTCGTTCACTAAAAACGACTAAAACACTGTTTAAATTGTTGAATTGAGAATTATTTTTCGAAATATCGCCATTTCTAGGTCAACAGGAAGTCATGTTAGGCACTGAATAAATCGGGCAATCTAATTGGACAATACGAATGGCGCGAAAAAGTAAAGTTTTTAAAAGTTTGAAATCGGGCGTACGGCAGCACGCTAAAGGTTAAAGGGTAATGTCGAACTATTATATTTACTAAAATCAATTTTAAATTGTACTTAATGAAACATAACTATTCCCGTTATAGAAAAGCTCCATCAACTAGAGACTTTGAATGCACTGTCATCTGCACGTGTAGATTATGCACATTATAATTAAATGCTTGCTTCCGTGTCCTTGTAGTTGTAGTGTATTATAAACACGATCCTTGAAAGTGAGTCATGGTTCTTTAAAGTGAGTCATTACATAAACAAGTTGATTATTTCAATGTTTTCATGATCAGTATAAGTTCAATGAACTTACAAAACGGTATATTTATGTAGATGATAACGTATACAGTTGGATCTCCGTATAAAGATTTGCCTACATGTGTGTGGAACAATTGACCGCAAGCATTTTTAAAAATTAATTGGCTGAGTGGTAACAGTATCCAATCAAATACTTTAACCATCAATTTGAAACACCAATCAAACCAGTAGGTTCTAGCAATTCCTGGAAACGACCCATTCAGTAGCTCAACAAATGACATACAGGGTGTTTCATAACGAGCACCTCCAAAAAGTCAATTTGAGAAGAGATGGGTCTATAACATATGTACTATATATGAGCCTATTTTATTCTAGACAAACACATTTGGATCAACTTAACATGCTACCATTCAAGAAAGTACAAATGGCATCCCTTTGACCTGTATTTATTACAGTCCGAGAAGATCTTTCCTGACGAAATGCCCACATTATGAAACACCTTGTACGTTTACCTATAAGTATAAGTATACGTTATAAGTTGTACTTTCACTAGGTGCAAAATCTCTCTATTACCATAGAGGTACTGATACTACTTCATAGTGAACCTGGGAGTGATGTGAACATACAGACACAATGATATGATGTGTGGGGAAATTCAAAAATAAGAACTGAAAACCAAAATGAGAAACTCACTGGGAGTTCCCTTTATGAAATTCCTATCAACCGTATCAAAGTGGGTATAAAGACTGCCGAGTCGTATCCAGTGATCCTGGGCCTATCGTAAAATGAAAGCTTTGAATATGTTATAGCCTTTAAAAATGTATCTATTTTCCATGTATGCAACTAGAATTTGTACACATACCTTATATCGATCAATAATGGCAAAACAAAATCCTCGAATTCTTCGTCTGCTTCTTCTCCCCCGTCTCCGCCATTTTTTATTAAACCGGAAGTTTGTTCTCTAACGTCCGCGCAATGTTTTTTCACTTTTATTCCAGATTACGCTTTGGATTCAACTTTTAATGCTTTCTAATAATCGTCAAGTGATTTCTATAAGAAACATTTTCATAAGAAGACTCACACTATCAGAGATTCTATCAATTCGAGCAGCAAGAAATATTAGTTTCAAATTCACCCGCTATGTGTTTTGATGTCGACTTGGAAAAAATTTGAAAAATCTATGAGTGGGACTCCTTGTATAGAATTGTAGATTCTAAACGATTTGCCTTACTCACTTCGAGAGCCATGTTAGATTTTGAAACTTATGGCTCTCAAACGGGGAAGTGAACAGCTGATTAATAGTGACCTTTGAAATCGAATTAAGTCGATCCGCGGCTTACTTTCATAGCTGAAATTGCAGGAACAAAACCTTTATTACCTAATATTATAGTAACCAGGATTTTTTCCTTTCACATACCTATTTGTCATCTTCAATTGCTAACTCATATGCAGTGATGTTGATAGAAATTTTAAAGTATGGGACACATCAAAAAAATGTCCCACTCCAACTAAATATGTGGGTCATTTCAATTTTTTGGGGGACATTTTTTCCGTCGCGATTTAATAAAAATTTATAACTTTGTCTTGCTCCTGCTTCTGAAACAAGCAATAAAGTAAAATTATATTTAAAAAAAAATTGGCCAGGGATTCACCTGTATTTTATTAAACCCCCTAAAATTAGCCAGAGGTTCTCTGTATTTTACATTTACTCGCCGGTGGTTTGGCATTTAAAAAATGAAGTTCCAAATCAAACAAATTCGGGTACAGTCAAAACAGAAATGTTTTAGAAATGTAACTACTTTGAATTTAAAAAATAAGCAATCAAATGACCAAAAAAACATTTATATTTATCCTAACTTTTGTTTATTTCAGATAGTAATGTATAATGTGCAGCAAAGCTGTGGCCTTTTATTATTCGTCTTTCTGGTGTGGAATATATATATGCTTTCAATCAATTGAACATATCTGCATTAAATGCTATTGTGTATGTATGTTTAATACGTGGTAATATGCAATAAAATCGGGATAAAATTGAAATTCGAATATATTTTTTTGATTCATCGATGGTTGTTTTGATACATGAAAACTACGAACGATTTAGAGTGTTGATGTTCGTATTTTTGTAGAGAATCTATTATATCATCAATCACTGGTAATTTCTAAATAAATCATAATTAACAAATTTATTGCTATGAAATAAATATACAATATCCCTGTTACAGTGTAAAGTTAGTTCTGAGGCATTTAGTGCAAATAGTATAAACCGTTCGCATTTATTTACAAATGAGACAACCGTTCGTACTTCTTATGCATAGCGGCCATGTCAATCATAAAGACAAAGACCAACCCTCCTTACCATATACGGACCTGGAAATCATGTGATGACATAACCCATGAGTGATTCGTCATAACAAATTGACCCGGGGATGTGCGCAACTGATTTGCGAAGCTAGATTCGCGTGTTAACTATAAGCACGAGATAACAAACTGACGAAAGTAATTTGGTAAAAATATTGCTTAAATCTAAGTGTTGGGCCTCATAACTGGACCATACTCAAATTGAACTGACAGGTATCAAGAATAGGATTCAATCTCGACTACAAGGCAACGTGTTTTGACTGCGTCATGATTTTACAGATTGGACGCACTGAGGTAAGGAATCTGCGTCTTCCCTGTTAAAATTGCGCCAAAGACGCAAAGACGCGAGCTATCAACATCACTGCATATGAATCTTTTATTGTTATAGGGGGCACCATACACCTTTCAGTGGTGTCTCGCTCCCTTCATCATCTTTGTATTGTTGTATGTATGCATATATATTTAATAAATTGAAAAAAAATAAATAAATTGAAACTTTTGGTCTCTAACTGTGTCTTACATCAGTATCATCAATCCGTGTAAGTATTGGAGCGCTGAAGTACTTCATTTTCGATCAAGACTTGTAATTGTTAGTCGAGTGAATGTTTTTACTGCCAAATTCCAATATGGCGTTTTCTGCTCGGACATTTTCGTAAATCTCCGGAGGTTGTCCGAACCTAACTAATTCTCAAAATTTATTTCGTTCGTTGCGTATCTCTCTCCTAACAAACCGCCATATCGGAAATATGTCTAAAAAACATTCACTCGATGAACAATTTACAAGCCTTGATCGAAAAAGAAGTATTTCAGCGCTCTAATACTTACACGGATTGATGATACTGATGTAAGACACAGTTAGAGACCAAAAGTAAGCCACGGATCGACTTAATCCGATTTCAAAGGTCACAATCATTCAGCTGTCCAAATGCTCCGTGGGAAAGCTATTATATCAAAATTCAAATAGCTTTCGCAGGAAGTAAGATTTGCCAGTTCTACTGGTTGAAGAATATTGCCATATGCATACATTTTTCTTAAATAGGAATAAGGAATGAGTTGTTAGACCAAACTTCGCCCCGATAGCTCAGATTTACAGTTGGGGACATAAATAAATGACAGGTGGATTTGCTGAAGTGAGGATTTCCCATGTTAAAAATAAGAGAATTTACAAGAGGCCATAAATCAGTGGATGAGATTATACAAAATGTAAAATATACAAATTTTAAGGGATATGTATCTAGACAATATTGGAAATTATGGGCTTTCAGACCACCATAATTAGGAAATGGTGATCGAAAATCGACCTGTCATTTATTTTTGTCCCCAACTGAGCCTAGAAATTTTTCAATTTTTTTCTCCACAGTCCATATACCCGCTTTAAATAAGTTCAGGGTGAAATAACTTACTTGTATGATGTCAGTACCACTTTATTTATAACTATTATGAAGAATGAACTCCCCCCGTAGAAGGCAGCGGCTAATAATTTATAAAATAACACGGATTTCGCATTTTCACTTTCTTCCGCCATCATGCCACGAGAACTAGGTCATGACTAGCCACGAGAACTAGGTCATGACTAGCCAAATCGATCATTTAGGTCTACACTGCGGGAGTTTCATTTTAGAAGATGATGACTGTATACTAATTAACTAGTACATTACTTCCTTTACCACCTTCGTTTGTTCGAAGTTCCACCGTCTACAACACCTCGCCGATGTACATGTAAGTTACTCTACTAAGACCTTTACTACAGTCTAGGTATTCTACACTGCTTCAAAGGCAATAGGTAGTAAGCTAGCACCCATAAATAAATGACAGGTGGATTTGCTGAAGTGAGGATTTCCCATGTTAAAAATAAGAGAATTTACAAGAGGCCATACATCAGTGGATGAGATTATACAAAATGTAAAATATACAAATTTTAAGGGATATATATCTAGACAATATTGGAAATTATGGGCTTTCAGACCACCATAATTAGGAAATGGTGATCGAAAATCAACCTGTCATTTATTTTTGTCCCCAACTGTACTTGTTTCTTATGTATTTTTATCTTTATGTGATACTTCAGAAAATGTTTGTCTAATGCGCCGTATCCGGGGCGAAAGTTGTCAAATTGGCATTTTCGACCCTAAAATGGAAAATTACAGGGGGTACTTTATCATCATTGAATAAATCCTTCAGTTGGTCTTCAATCATCATAATAATTTTATGGGGAGTTGATTGGATCATGCTGAGGTAGTATGTTAAAGGTGCAACAATTAGTGCAGAGGGGCCATTCAACGATCATGGACCAGTGTCAAAATATATTTAAGTTTGGATATTTCATCAAGACTAACATCTATTTTTATTATCCACAAAAAAACCCACTAGATAAACATTATTTCAGCATATATTCCTCTTAAAACATGGTGGATCTTAAAAATATAAAAGCGGATTTCCCCTTTTTGAAGCTTTGAACTGAATTTACACTTCTTAATGCTGAAATTGATAGTTTATACATACATTTTAAGAAAATAGGTCTGTCAAAGAAGATGTTAAGCCAAATGTTGCCTTGATAGCTTATAAAAAGTTAAAATTTTCCTATTTTCTCTCTACAGGCCTTGTTGCCCCTTTAAGTTTCAATCACCTGTCACTCATGGTTGCCATGGAAACCACAATTTTCATTGAAAAATCCTTAATTTTGGCAAAATCTGTACAGGTACATAAATAGAATGTGGATTATTTTTCAAATCAACAGATATAAGAATATTGTAGCACACCCAAAATCACCAGGGAAGTTCAAGAATTTGTTTAAGCATAAAGGATATTGCAATTTATATAATTGGTAAGTCTCAAAGACCATACTACATGTACTACATAAGTGATCAAAAGTGGGCGTCGCCCTCATAATAGTAAATGATGACCATTCTCTGAAAAGACAGACTTTAACTTGACTTTTGAGATACATTTATATTGAAGATCTTTGAATATACCTAATATCATGCATTTCTGGTAAATAATGTACATATAAGTGTAAAAGTTGTTGTAAGGGGAGGGGGGGGGGTGGTAGTAACAGAATTTGGAGGGGGCAGAGCTAATCAGCCTTAGTATAATTCTCATTTATATAGTTCTGGATTTTCAAAGGTTAAATCTTCTGGGTCTTCTTCATTTTCATTTCAATAGGGCCTATATAGGTACTACATTCTACATGATTGGTGTCAAAGACCATACCATTACATAAGTGATCAAAAGTAGGCATCATCACCTTCATAATAGCAGATGATTACCATTCTCTATCAATACAGGGTTTAAGAAGAATTTTCGATATATATATATATATTTATCATGATTTATACTTCTTTGATTATACTTAATATCAACCATTTCAGGTAAATAACAGGTAAACTACTTTATAGTTGATGTAATACTTTGATATTTGAATTAAATCAGGCTTATATGGCATATACCATCGCTCGATACTGACCAGTGACACCTGAGTTTTATAGTTATTGCATGAGAGGCAGCTTGAGAGAGGGGGGGGGCTAGTAATAGAAACTGGAAGAGGGCAGAGCTAATCAGCTTCAAGTATAAATCTCATAATACTTCGTTCTGGATTTATTAAGGAACATGTACATCTTCTAGGTCTTCTTCATATTCATCTCAATATATAGGATATTACAATAAACATGATAGGTAAGTGTCCAAGACCAAACAATTACATAAGTGATCAAAAGTGGGAATCACCCCAACAACAGTATATGGTTCATTCTCTACAAGCAGAGGTCAACTTGAGTTTTGAGATCATCCAGTGATCTCCCCAGGATTTCTTCTCGGGTGGGTACAAAATTTTCATTTTCACAATTCAGACCAAAATTGGTCAAAATATGCCAATTTTTCATGATTTTTCTCACTTTCAAGTGGGTGCATATGGATTTTCAGGTGGGTGCAAACCTATTTTCAAAATTTCAGGTGGGTGCTGCACCCACTTGCTTTAATGCTTGAAAGATCACTGTCATCTATACGTCATCTATACTTCTATTATTTAAGAAATATAGACTGAAGAGCAGGTGTTATATTGACAAATACACTCCACATGGCTAGGCAAGGGAGTGAGGGGTTCGAAAAGCTTTTGTACCTAGCCCTAAGGGGTCATTGTCAATATCACGCCTGCTCTGAGGTATATATTACAATTCAAACATGAAAACTCCCCAAATTTTTTTGAATATTCAACTTATGGTCTTCCATTACTACAGCCCTCTTGATGTCACACATTACTCGTATTACCAAGGGAAGTGTTGACGAATATACCCCGGGTAAAATGTTGACTTTGTTCACAGTTTATAGAAGGCGTGAATACAGTCATGTTCTAATATAATTTATATAAACCATTTCTCATAAATATGTTTAGTAGTATAGTTTTTACGTGGGGTGATAGTGGGGAAGTGGTTACCTGGGAGGGAGCTCTACTCCCTCCTAATTATTCTGTTACTACTCCCATCTAGGGCCTGGCATAATATATGCAGCCTTCATACCTTCCCTAGATGGAGTAAGTGCCATGCTTTGAAGGGGCAGGATAGCACATTTTAAAAAGATGGAGCACCATATTGAGTCCCAGCTGAATGACTCTCAAATCTGCAAGTGTTTAGTGGTATTTTCTCTTAAGAGATTGTTGATATATCAATATCATGCGATAAATCAAAAGAATGAAAATGATCAGACTATGGGAAGGCTCATCTACAGGGTGTCCCGAAAGTATGGGGCCCCCCCTAGGCAGACATATACCAGTGTCCTCATAGTATGTGTCATATATCATTTTAAAGCTTGTCCAAAGTTACATTGATTTGCCAAGTATCATGGTTTAACTCCCAAATGGGAAAAAGTTACAGTCATTTTAAAAGTTAGTGTTTTGTCAAAATAAAGTTCAATTTTACACCACATTACTAGTCAATGTGTCCCCCCTTGACCATGTTAACAGCGGCAATTATATTCAGATATGACCTTAAAAGTCCTTCAAATAGGAGTGTGTAACTTTATAACCCTCTTAAAACCTGTTAAGGGACTTTAGAAGAGTTTCCTTAGAGTTTCTACCCTCACCGTTCTCTTTTTCCAACTCAATATCCATCCAATCCGAAAAGAATTGCTGCTGTTAAGATGGCCCGAGAGGACACATTGACTAGTGATTTGGTGTAAAATTGAACTTAATTTTGACCAAACACTAAATTTTTAAATACCTGTAATTTTTTCACATTTGAGAGTTGAACCATGATACTTGGTGAATCAATGTAACTTTGGATAAGCTTTAAAATAATTTATGACACATACTATGACGACACTGGTATATGTCTGCCTAGGGGGGACCCCATACTTTCGGGACACCCTGTATAGTTGTTATTATTGTATTGCCATCACTAGACACTCTGATACTCATAGCATCTTTCTGTCTCATCTGAAGGGCTGGGAAGATATAAAATGTCATGGTTTATCATGAGGATCACTTGAAAGGATATGGCATTTCCCACCTGCTACACAGTAGATTTTTTCTTGGCACATTCTGGTCTTATCATTCAATTAACTGAACTGGTATTGTTTCTTCTTGATTGCATCCTTATTCATGAACTCATTCCAATCTTAAGGGACTCGTGTATTTTACATTTGATAAGGTGAGGTGCCACCACCCTCTTCTTCTCCTATCAGGTTCGTTTATAGAATTTTGGATTTAATTGTCACATAATCACTCTGCTGTTAGAAGTATCTTGAAAAACATGTATTTTCTGCCAGCTCCAGAAACAAAACGAATACAGCAAAGTGTAGTGCTGGACAAACAAAAGAAGACTGATTAATATAAAAAAAAAGATTTATGTTAAGCCACAATGCCTTACAACAGCAAAACCAGATAAACCAATTGAAATTGAAGTTTAGACCCCATACTAAAACAATCAAAGACTATGAAGGAACCGACATCAGTCTTCTTCCACCTTGTCAAGAGCTTACTACAAAGCACTTATCATGCATATGGCCCATATTGTAAACCCTGACATTCCAGCAGAAGATGGACATGGATGGAAACTGAATGACTCCACCATTGCATTGGGTATTGACTGGTATTCTCATACAAATGATTGTTGATATAGCACCAGATGATGAATCAGAAAGACTCCAGAAGATGTATCTTATGAAATCCAGAACTCTGAAGATGAAATTGATACTTAATGCTGACTTGTTCCCCCCACACCTCCAAATTCTGTTACTTCCCCCATCCCATACAATAATTATATACAGTATATTGAGATAACTAAGAAGACCCAGAGAATACTCTATGAAGAAGTCCAAAAGAAAGAATTTATACTTACGGCTGATTAACTCTGCCCCCTTCCAATACTGTTAACCCCACCCCTCCTCATCCAATAACCATTGCACTGAGTTGTACATTATTTACCAGAAAATATAAAGTATAATCAAAGAAGTCCAATGTAAATGTATCTCAAGTCAAGTTTAACTCTGTTTTTATAGAGGATAGCAATTAACTACTCTAGTATGGGGGCGACGCCCACTTTTGATTACTTGTGTAATAGTATGTTCTTTGACACTGACCAATCGTGTAAGTTGTAATATCCCATATATTGAGATGAATATGAAGAAGATCCAGAAGATGTACCCCATGAAATCCAGATATATGTAGATGAGATTTATATTTAAGGCTGATTAGCTCTGCCTCCTCCCAATTCCTTTACTACCCCCCCCCCCCCTCTGTACCCCCCCCCCCCCCCTTGCAATAACTATGACACTTAGACTTACATTATTTACCAAAAATGCTTGATATAAAATATAATCAAATAAGTCTAGTGTAAATGTATCTCAAAAGTCAAGTTAAACTCTGTTTTTATTATAGAGTATAGCAATCATCTACTATTATGGGGGCGACGCCCACTTTTGATCACTCATGTAATTGTATGTTCTTTGACACTGACCAATCATGTAAATTGCAATATCCTTTATATTTAAACAAATGTTTGAACTGTACTGATTATTTTGAGTGTGCTAAAATGTGCTGATATGTATTGATTCAAAAATAATCCATATTCTACATGATGTTCATGTTCAGGTTTTGCAAAATTAAGGATATTTTGAATAAAAATTGTGGTTTCCATGACAACCATGAGTGACAGAGCATTGACATTTTACATACTATCTCAGCATGATCCAATCAACTCCCCATAAAATTATTATGATGATTGAAGACTAACAGAACGATTTATTCAATGATGATAAAGTACCCCCTGTAATTTTCCATTTTAGGGTCGAAAACCCCATTTTGACAATTTTCGCCCCGGATATGGCGTGTCAGACAAAAAATTTGTCGTATATGGTATAAGAGAAGAAAAAAATATGGTATATGGTATAAGAGAAATATATGGTATATGGTATCTAAAGGAATCTGAAGTCTTAATATGTCACCAGTTACCTAAATATTTTATCTAAAACAATTAAACATGCCTAATATGAATAGCCATTAGCACCACAACAGAAATGCTTGACTTTAGTAGACTGTTCCCACACGCCGTGGATAATTTAATCATGAGAGCAGGCAATCTGCCATTTATTTATCATACAAATGAAAAATACTACGAGCGAATGGCGTCTAATATACACATGACTCTTGATAAAATGCCCCAAATTCCCAAGCAGGAGCATAATCATCTGGATCCTGGAGAAGTACAACTCCTGCAAGACTATAGAAAATCATACCTTCAAGGTGTTCGGCAGCTGGCCATACGAAGTCAAACTACAAAAGACAAAGTTGGTACACTTCCGCTGTACGCTTATTCTACACCAACAGTAAAGGAGGATCATGAATATGTCAATATGGAAATGGATGATATCTTCAAAGGTCAAAACACACCACAACTTATAGCTAGATTCGCAAAAAACTCAATATTATGTGTAAAAACACAAAGAGAGGTCCGTCTATGTGTTGTATCGATTGAGGTAACAGACGATGACAGATTGATTCAGGCCAAATGGCTTGAAAATACAGAAAGAGATGTTACATCATTTCATCAAGCTGAAAACACCATCATCCATTTGACGGAAGTTGTTGAAGTTCTTTCAGACATGAGGTTTAATGAAGAGGGTGTTTTGAACCTTACTATTGAGGAATATGAGAATTTATTCCAAACACCATCAGATGATGAAAATGATGAAATTGATGAACCTTTAGTGCAAAAAAAGGTGACAGGGGTATCTCGAGGAAATAGAAGGCAGACAAGGGTACCCTCATATCTTAATGATTATGTAAATTAATGATCATCATTCCTGAGTTACATCATACATGTTCACTTGATTCTAAACTTTATAAATACTATTTATTATGTCACCACTAATTATGTCACCACTAAAAGTGGTGACATATTGTTATGGTCTCCGTTTTTTTGCGACGGCGGTTGGTGGTTGGAGGTTGGCGTCCGGCGTCTGTAACAATTTCTTACAACTTACTATAACTTAACAAATACTGTTTAGACTGACTTCAATTTTTTTCTAAATCATCTACATGTTCTCAGAAGTTCAAATCTGACTTTAGATTTGACATTTGACCTTCAATGACCTTCTCAAGGTCAAAAAGGTCTTTTTTCAACTTGCTTCACATTGACTAAATTTTTTTTCAAAATCATCTACATGTTCTCAGAAATTCAAATCTGACTTTAGATTTGACTTTAGATTTGACATTTGACCTTCAAATCTGACTTTAGATTTGACATTTGACCTTCAATTACCTTCTCAAGGTCAAAGAAGTCAAAAAGGTCTGTTTTCAACTTACTTCAAATTGACTAAATTTTTTTTCAAAATCATCTACGTGTTCTCAGAAATTCAAATCTGACTTAAGATTTGACTTAAGATTTGACATTTGACCTTCAATAACCTTCTCAAGGTAAAAAAGGTCAAAAAGGTCTGTTTTCAACTTGCTTCAAATTGACTAAAAATCTTTTTCAAAATCATCTACGTGTTCTCAGAAATTCAAATCTGATTTGACATTTGACCTTCAATGACCTTCTCAAGGTCAAAAAGGTCTTTTTTCAACTTGCTTCAAATTGACAAATTTTTTTTTCAAAATCATCTACATGTTCTCAGAAATTCATTCTGACTTTAGATTTGACATTTGACCTTTAATGACCTTCTCAAGGTCAAAAAAGGTCAAAAAGGTCTGTTTCAACTTGCTTCAAATTGACCAATTTTTTTTTTCAAAATCATCTACATCTTTTCAGAAGTTCAAATTTGACTTTAAAAGTTCTCAGAAGTTCAAATCTGACTTTAGATTTGACCTTTGACCTTCAATGACCTTCTCAAGGTCAAAAAGGTCTTTTTTCAACTTGCTTCAAATTGACTAATTTTTTTTTCAAAATCATCTACATGTTCTCAGAAGTTCAAATCTGACTTTAGATTTGACATTTGACCTTCAATGACCTTTTCAAGGTCAAAAAGGTCTTTTTTCAACTTGCTTCAAATTTACTTAATTTTTTTTTCAAAATCATCTACATGTTCTCAGAAGTTCAAATCTGACTTTACATTTGACATTCGACCTTCAATGACCTTCTCAATGTCAAAAAAAGTCAAAGAGGTATTTTTTCAACTTGCTTCAAATTGACGAATCTTTTTTTCAAAATCATCTACATGTTCTAAGAAGTTCAAATCAAACCTTCTTAAGGTCAAAAGGTATTTTCCAACTTGCTTTAAATTGACCAAATTGTTTTAGGTGGTGACATTTTGTCATGTTAATGCCTTGTTATAATTTATAACCTATCATATAGCATGTGAAAGCTGATTCAGTTGATCAGTGTTGCTAAACATCTCTACAAAAAGGTACCCATTTCTAAATACATAATCTAAATGCAACCTTTTCTCAAACACCAACACTGTACCTTGCTAAATGCAACAGTTACTTCCAAACATAACTTCACAAATTATGTTCCCATTTATCGATCATGACGATACATGTGTATGTGACCCATAAATCCATACTGTATAAGGTTTTTTATGATATAAAGATTGTAAAGGTATATAACCTAGGATTGACTTTGGATGGGAGGACATTCATCATGAAACACCCTGAACATAATTATGAAATCAATTGATATTATATGTAGGCTAACTATTATTTACTATTGTTAAGGTAAGCCAGTATGTTTTTGGCAATCCTCATTGAAGTCATGCTACTTTCAATTATTAATAACTTGATCCAACATTGTCCACAAAGAATACACTTTATAGACAAGACAAGAGTGTAGAGATGTTTAAAAATGAGAAGTTTCAGTGATCTACTTTCAGTAGTTTCAAAAGAAGTAGGTCACCAATTTTTAAACATTTTATTGAAACTGGCAAACAAAACTTCTATGTGGAAATGAATTATTTAAGGAGTCAGTAATATTGTTTTGTATTTTCAAACATTTAAAACATTTTTACAGGTTAGTGGCTGCTTTGCCAAATTATTGTACATTTTGTATCTTCACTATCTACCTGACAGATTTATTTGTACATACTTTGCCGCAATAAACTTTATTTTTTAAAGAATACAATGTCATGATGAATCATACAGTCTTTCATTCCACCATGGGCTTTCAACTTTCTAATTGAAAGCCCATGGTTCCACATTCTCATTTTTGAATCAATTGTGTTCACAAGGAAAGAAGAATCATTTCCCTGACTCACTATGAAGGATGCAATTGACATAAGTCATAAGAAAGAAGTACATTAAGTTGTACAATTTGTCTACTTGACAATAATATGGAGTTACAGAATTTTTGACCATGGGGTTGTGTCCAAAATGAATATTGTTGATAATGTATAAAATGGAATTATTGTGGTCTAATTATGTGCACTGTGCAGTCTATTTGCCTCATAATAATATATTTGGTAGTACATGGATTCCCTCCTAATATTATTTCCTTATAAATATCCAAACATTAATCAACAGCAGTTTCAAAATTATCGTATATTGTATTTCACCTAAAATATCGTATATGGTATAAGAGAGGCAAAAAATATTGTATATGGTGAAAAAATATTGTATATGGTATAAGAGGGCTGAAAAATATTGTATATGGACTTCCAAGACCCCCTATACACCCCCCCCCCCCCCCTTAGTGCCACAGTCACAAAGTCAGCACTATCAATGGTATACTCTACCTTTAGTAAAAGAAAAGTTCAAAGGTGTTTGTCACAATATTTACCAATCCATCTTATCGCATCCTACGACCCCTTTAGATTGTGGTCGTAGGCCCGATTTTATTAGTAAGCCTGTGTTTCTACAATGTCGGAGAATGAACTATGCATTGCACACATAAATGACCTACCTCGATACATTCCTGAGTATTTTAGAATTCTTTTCATATAGTTGAATCGCAAATTGTATGGGTTTATCGGCAGAACGAAGATATTTTCGTTTTTGATAGCAATATTTGCGTGTAGGTTCAACCGTCAAATTTCTCCATTCAGTTCCCGGCATGCTCCAGTCATACGGGAAATCCCTGGGGAATTCCCCTTCCAACATTTTGAAAATTGCTGAGATGTTTCCGATGTAAAAACTAAAATCTCTTCGTTCTGACGATAAACCCATACAATTGGCGATCTAACAACATAAAAAGAATTTTAAAATACTCTGGAATGTATCGAGGTAGGTCATTTAATAGCGCAATGTGTAGTTCATTCTCCGACATTGTAGAAAGACAGGCTTACGAATGAAACGGGCCTACGACCACAATCTAAAGGGGTCGTAGGATGCGATAACAATCCATCCACTCCCTCCAATACGCATGGGCAGCCCGATGTAAAAAATAAGGCCGTAGCTGGAGAGCCTAAAATGTTAAGGGGGGGGGGGGTGTATAGAGGGTCTAGACTGTATCCTTCGTCTGAATAAATATTATATTCGGTCTGTTGGATACATACTAATAGAGGGTCTTGGAAATGCATATACAATATTTTTCAGCTCTTTTATACCATATACAATATATTTTCACCCCTTTTATACCATATACAATATTTTTCACAGCTCTTATACCATATACGATATTTTACAAAAGTTCAGGTGAAATACAATATATGATAATTTTGAAACTGCTGTTGATTAAAGTTTTGATATTTATAAGGAAATAATATTAGGAGAGAATCCATGTACTAAAGTAAATGTATTATTATAAGGCAAATAGACTCCACATACATACCACAATGATTTCATTTACAGGGTGACAAATGAAAACTGGAACCCATAAATCATAAAATTTCTCGGAAAGTATTATACCTACATTCTTCATTTCTTCAGGGTAGAAACTAGACTGAATGCATGACAAAATGACATAATAATGAGTACTGTAGCTTAGATATTAATCATGCCATGGACGACAGAAGAAAAGACTTATATTGTGAGAAAGTATATCAAGACAAAATCCCATAAAGAGACACAAACTGCCTATATGAGAGATCACAGGGCAAGAAGAGCCCCTTGCAAGTCACAGATCTTTAGGCTTGTACAGAAGTTTGATTCAGAAGGAACTGTAAAACCAACAAAGAAGAAAAGTGATGGTAAACCAACCTATTCGGGGAGAATGCGGTCTGTCAGAACTCAAGACAACTCAACAGTCAACTCAGAATGTTACATCCCTAACGTTCAAAAGTTTTGGAGAGCGGTGGGTAGACGACGTGACTTGAGAAGGGACCAGCAATGGTTCCAACAAGATGGTGCCACACCCCACACCTCAAATGAGTCCATTCGATGGCTTCAGGCTCACTTTGGTGATCAATTAATCAGTCACCATACCCGCCACATCTGCCCCCCCACTCCCCTGATTTGAACCCCCAGATTTTTATCTGTGGAGGTATCTCAAGGATAATGTGTATACAGATAGTCCACTGACTATTGATGACCTCAAATTCAACTTGGAAGACTAATTAGAGAGATATTAGACAGAGATGAATGCAGTCAGGTCATTGACAATTTTGCAAGAAGAATCCAGCTCTGCATCCAACATTGTGGTGCACATTTGGAGCACATTATCTAATTGTGCCTCATTTGGAGACTAATTGAGCCATAATGCTAAAACTTTGACATCTTGTCTATACATGTACCAAATAACTAAGCTCAATATGCATTATTGACGAAGTTATTAAGACTTAAGTGGGTTCCAGTTTTTTTTTGTCACCCTGTATTACATTATGAATAAGACACCATTCGGGTACATCCGCATGTTCAGAAAAGCTGTGACCACATTTTATTTTCAGCAAGTTGATTTAAACACATTTATGGTATAAGATTCAATCATGACTTCTCTTTAGTGATTTCACAACCTACTTTGACAAAAAAA